TGTGAGGCAAGGGTGGTGAGTGGCTGTGAGGTTTGTGTGGTGAGTGGCTGTGAGGCAAGGGTGGTGAGTGGCTGTGAGGCAAGGGTGGGTGAGTGGCTGTGAGGCAAGGGTGGTGAGTGGCTGTGAGGCAAGGGTGGGTGAGTGGCTGTGAGGTTGGTGTGGTGAGTGGCTGTGAGGCAAGGGTGGTGAGTGGCTGTGAGGCAAGGGTGGTGAGTGGCTGTGAGGCAAGGGTGGGTGAGTGGCTGTGAGGCAAGGGTGGTGAGTGGCTGTGAGGCAAGGGTGGGTGAGTGGCTGTGAGGCAAGGGTGGTGAGTGGCTGTGAGGCAAGGGTGGGTGAGTGGCTGTGAGGCAAGGGTGGTGAGTGGCTGTGAAGCAAGGGTGGGTGAGTGGCTGTGAGGCAAGGGTGGTGAGTGGCTGTGAGGCAAGGGTGGTGGGTGGCTGTGAGGCAAGGGTGGTGAGTGGCTGTGAGGCAAGGGTTGATGACTGTCGATCGGCTCGTTGAGAAAGTGCACTCTCGTTAGCTCGTGGTCAATGCTGATGGGATGTGTGTGGGAAGAGAGGACCGCGGGGTGCTGTGTGCCCCTTGTTTATCTATTTTACGCTAATAGATAAACACTTTGATTTATTTGAACATCAGCCTTTAGCTGTGAAGAGAGTGATTAAAAATAATAATGTTTATTTCAAGATGATTTTTTTTCACAAAAGTCAAGCTTATAGAGCGTTTTGTCAGGAAAGGTCAACGGGCCGTCACATTGTAGGGTAGGAAAAAAACCTTCCTTTTGTCTTGCGTTACAATTGACGGCGATGGCAGTGATGACCAAAATGACGACGACGACGATGATGATGACGACGGCGACCATTTTTGCAGTCGAAATTCACGACTACTACTAATAATAATAACAATCCGTCCGCTGGCCCACTCGCCAGCCTCGTCATGAACGCGCGAAAAAAAATCGAGGGAAACCTGGGGAGACGTTCTTGTCGAGCGGGTCGCGTCGAGAGCTTGGCAGACTGGCGTGCTTTTAATGGAGTCCTATATTGAGCGGCTCAACGACAAAAAAAATAAACTAAGCTTGCTTTTTTTGTTTTTGGGCCCCTCGCTTCCACCTGCCCCTGGGCAATGACACTTCTTATTATTAGTTTGTAATATCAAATAATTCATGCTTTACGAGATAAATAATTAAAAGCGGGTACGTTTCCACCCCCCCCCCTCCCTTCCCTCCCACCACCAACGAGGATCGCAGCCGCCCGCCAGAGAAAAGAGCGTCAATAAAGCGATGTCAGGCGATCGGGAAAGGCTGCGGAGAGGCCGGGCCGAGCGGGCGGCACGCAAATCGAAGGTTGCGAGTTCAAGTCCTGGATGAGGGGGACAAGGGATGCGGGGGGGGGCGGAGGGGTTGACTCGGCCCCATCATCCTTCCTGGGCCGATAAAATTAGAACCAATTCGTGGGGAAGTCAACGGTTGTTGTCCTACTCAGAGGCCCGCCACCGCCCCTCACTGCCGTAGGAGCTGGACATCTGCGAAGAAGAGCTTCATAGCTCATCGGATTCCTCCTCCAGGAAAAAAATATATAGGATTTTGAACGTGCAAATTCCCACCACTGGCTCCGCAGGGCTGTTAACGTGAGGCGAGCACCTCCTCCATGCTCAGCTGGGCAGCAAATCGCCGTGACCTACGACTTGGTAATTGGGGCTTTTCTTGGCCCCTGGAGGCTTCCACTTTGGACATAAGGAAGGGGTCGACGGTTCACACCCTGGGTTGGGGTTGAAACTTCACCTGGTGTCCCAGCACTTTGGCCAATAAAGATGTCAGGTAGAAAAGCTCTGAAACTTCACCTGGTGTCCCAGCACTTTGCCCAATCAAGGTGTCACGTAGAAAAACTCTTGGTGACCTGAGAGTCGTTCAATTCACAAGTCTGTCACTTGTTTTAAAATAAATAAGAATTAAATTTGAGAGGCTGTGACGTCATTAATTGACTCAATCATGCATTCGTTCCCTCATATACTGATTCAGACATTAATTCACTCACCCATCCATTGAGTCATGAATCAATTAACTTTTTAAGCGTTCTCTCATGCAGTCCTTCACTCAATCTTTGACTCAATCACACATTAATTTCCTCATAACTGTATGAATTACTTCACCCATTCATGCTATACATCACTCGTTGATGTATTCCTTCCCTTGTATAGTCAGGCAGTCAGTCGTTCATTCATTGATTCACGTGTTAACTCAATCACTTACTCATTGACAACCTAACTTTTTGTACAATGTCTTGAGACTGCAGTTGCAATTTTAGTTTTCATAGCGTCGAAATGCAAACGCATCCCAAGACGCTGCAGTCAGACACTGCATAAATACAAATTGCATTGCATTTGCAAGGCCGAATAAAAATCCGTGCCCAACCTTGGAACTCAAATTTTGCAGAAAGTGTTCGGGCAGAACTAATTGGATGTACGTTTTTTTTTCACTTTCAAAAGCTCAATTTCTCTGTAAACAAGGCCCCCTTGTGCGGCAGTCCGACACCAACATGATTTGCATTAATAAAGAATTAAAGCTTTTGTGACTGCATAAATTACTCATTGTTTTTTTTCGGTAGAGTCACGTATGTAGAAATACCACAAAATTATATTGAAACAAATCAATCACGACGTTTCGACCGCAACACAAGCGATCTTCATCAGGTGTAAAAAACAAATAGTGAGGGAGCATATAGGGTGACATCAACGCAACACATAGAGAGCGTTAAACTGCACGGAGGTAAATACAACAAGAAGATGAGAGACGAGAATTCAACAAACCTAAGAAAAATTTACGTGATGCAAAACCAGTCGGCCAATGACACAGTTAGACACTTGCCTGGCGTTGGCCTGACTGGTTTTGCATCACGTAAATTTTTCTTAGGTTTGTTGAATTCTCGTCTCTCATCTTCTTGTTGTATTTACCTCCGTGCAGTTTAACGCTCTCTATGTGTTGCGTTGATGTCACCCTATATGCTCCCTCGCTATTTGTTTTTTACACCTGATGAAGATCGCTTGTGTTGCGGTCGAAACGTCGTGATTGATTTGTTTTCATATAATTTTGTGGTATTTCTACATACGTGACTTTACCGAAAAAACCAATGAATGATTTGCATTCACAATACACAACTAATAACTGCAAGTGGAGAAGCGGAGGAGCAGTAGATCAATCCGATGACAGTGAGTGGGCATGCGAGTGTGTGGGTAGGTGGGTGGATGAGTGGGTGGATGAGTGGGTGGGTAAATGGGTGAGTGGGTGGGTGAGTAGATGGTTGGGTGGGTGAGTGAGTGAGTGGTTGGGTGGGTGGGTGAGTGGGTGGGTGGGTGGGTGGATTGATGGATGAGTGGGTGGGTGAGTGAGAGGATGAGTGGGTGAGTGAGCAGGCGGGAGGGCCAGTGAGTAGATAAGTTTAGAGAATGAGCAGGCAAGTGAGTGGGTGGATAAGTAGGTGAGCGAGTGGGCCAGTGAGTCGATGGGTGAGCAGAGAAATTAATGTGTGGATGGGTAAGTAGGTGTGTGAAATTAATAATGAGTTGGTGAGTGAATGTATGAGCGAGCGAGTGAGTGAATGTAAGAGCGAGTGGGAGAGTGAGGGAGTGAATGTAAGAGCGAGTGAGAGGTCGAGGGAGTGAATATATGAGCGAGTGAGCGAGTGAGTGAATGTATGAGCAAGCGAGCGAGTGACTGAATGTATGACCGAGCCAGCGAGTGAATGTATGAGCGAGCGAGTGAATGTATGACCGAGCGAGTGAGTGAATGTATGACCGAGCGAGTGAATGTATGAGCGAGCGAGTGTTTGAGCGAGTGAGTGAATGTATGGGCGAGCGAGCAAGTGAATGTATGACCGAGCAAGTGAGTGAATAAATGAGCGAGCGAGTGAGTGAATGTATGAACGAGTGAGTGAGTGAGCAGACAGGTGAAATGGTATGTAGTTATGTAAATGTGTGAGTGAGCAAGTCAGTGAGTTGGTGAGCGATTGAATGAGTAAGTGGGTGAGTAAGCAGGCAATTGCGTATGTGCGGTGTGAAAGACGTTCAACATACATGCTTACATAAGTGTGAGTAATTGTGTGAGTCAGCAGACAATTGAGCGAGTGCTTGAGCAATTGAATAAGTGAGTGAATGAGTGAGTGGGTGAGTGAGCAAGGTATTTGAGCAGGTGAGGAGGAGAGTGGCCAGATGAGCAAGTGAATGAGAAGAAAATTAGTGGGTGAATGAGTGATTGAATGAGTCAGCGAGTGAGCGAACGAGAGAGTGAGCAGGTGCGTGAGTGGGTGTGTAAGAAGGTGAGTAGTTGAGGGAGCAGATAATATTTCGATGCAGAAGATGCGTGCCAGATACAGCCACGTGTGCAAATGTGATTTGGAACTTTGAACCTCACTCATGCATCAATAATTCAACGTTAATGTGCAATGCGCTTGCGGGGACTGTGTTGTGTTGGTGTGGTCTGGGAACGTTGTTTTTGTTGTTATTGTTTTTATTTTGCCACCTTGCATTTAGTGTTGACGCATTGGCAGGAATATATATGTACTCATGCGAATTTTCACTTTAATTTATTTATATTCTTAGCAACTTGCTCACCTTTTCTACATTTTGCATTCCCATCGTCTCTTCTGTTTGTTTGTTGATGTAACTCGTGGACCCTCGCGCGTCCCCCACTGGACCTCTGTGAACAAGAGCTTCGTAGCTCATCGGATTCCTCCTCCAGTCTAAATCACGATCCCGATTTCATTTCTTTAGAACTTGCTTTTTGTGTTCAGTGTTTTTTTTTTTTGTGTGTGTAATATCCTTAACCCCCCGCACCTCCGATCAGCACGGCTGGCTACGTACGGCGCAAAAGAAGTTCAACGTGCACGAGCGGGGGAAGGTCAGCGAGCCGGGGCGAGCACACGCACGAGCCGCACTCAAGCGAGCAGACGCGTACGAGCAAACAAACGAGCGGGGGGGGGGAACGTTCACAATCAGGCGGGCGTCCTCACCCAGGATGGCGACGACCTCCTCGTCCTGCACCACCTCGAGGGAGCCCGAGACGACGAAGCAGAGCGCGTCGACGCTCTCGCCTCCGTGGTAGATGAGGTCGCCCGGGGCCGAGTGCACCGTCTGGAACTCGACGGCCAGGGCGCGCAGGCACCCGTCACTCGCCAGCCGGAACGCCGGGTGCTCGTTAAACACCAGGCGGTTGAGGTGCACACAGATATCGGCGCGCATGTCCTTGGGACAGATCTGTAGCACCTGCCGTTAAAGGGGAGAAGAGCGGCAGGAAACAGCGCAGGTTATTTTTTGTAAGAGACCCCCCCCCACCCACCCCCCCACCACCACCTCCGGCCCGCTCCCACAGCTCCCCTCCCCCCCCCCTCCCCGCATCCACCCAACCCCCTCGTGAAAATCATCCACGGCCGAAGATGTCCGGATAGCCGGAGCTTGGCGGGAGCTTAAAAAGGCAACGATGCACTTGGACAATCATTGCCGGAAACTGCTGCTGCTGCTGCTGCTGGCAACAGGTGTGGCATCGCTTCTTTGTATTGGGGAGGGGGGGTTGCGGGGGGGGGGAAATAAAAGTACGGCGTAGTCGCAAGAAAATCCGAACAAATCGGATGATCGGCGCTTGCTCCGTAAATGGTAACTGCGATGGCAACGTCCAATCGGATCACGCAAAGCGGTCACCTAACTCACCGAGGTCGCCGTGGGCTCTGCAGGGCAATCAATGTCAATCGCACGCACTTTGCCAACAAGCTCCGTTGTCATTGGCTGGACAGGACTGCGACGCCGTATGCGGATCCCGTCCGAATCGTCCACGGTTGTTCGTAGTGATTGCGCTCTTCACAGACGCTCGCGGGCAATGATTGTGCTCACAATCGCACTTGGATTCCGTGGCCTTAAGGCCGGCAAGAGCAGGTTCGTGTAACTTTCTGGCCCAATTCACGTCGATGGAACAATAATGGTTTGAATATGAATTGTACTAATATTATCTGTGTTGGCATTGATGTGTATTCACGCCCATCAACACGAAACAGAAATGTATTTACAGTGGTGTGATAATAATTTAGATAATGTCTCTTTTACATCAGAGTAGAGATGAAGGGGAAAAAGGGCCATCACCCATAACATGATATATTTTTTCTCTCTCTACAACATTATTTAACTCAATACCGAACCCTCGAATAATTCCGTAACACGTGCGTGTGATTTCGGTTATCAAAAATCGTTCGTGAAATGGGGAATGACAACTCGTACTCGTGAACGCTACTGTATATACATCGCACCACCGGATGAGCAGACGCGTCAGGCGATCAATGCTGGCGTCGCACGTGCACAACTGCACAATCAGCAGAGCGGTGGACCCGTTCGCTTATTTTTTTACATCCGCAGAAAGTGCAGAGAGACAAACGAAACATGCGTCGAATCGCAAAGCTGCAACTCGATCACACGTTCGCCCGAATCCCGGCATCAGAATCAGAAATACGGGGTGTTTTCAAAATGTGTGTTTTTTTTTTACACTTGTGAGAATTTGCAACAGTTCCACGAGAAATGTGCTGCTGCCTCCCAGGCTCTGGGGACCACCTAGAGAATATTCCAGGCACGCGTTGACCATGGTTGGCGAACAAGCGGGAGACTCTTTGACTTTTTGAAGCTCTGAACGTACATTTGTTACCATGTTATCGCAGTGTACTATCCGTTATTTTACCCATTATAAACGATAGTCCCGTGCGAGTGTTAACACTTTTTTGAAGCAGCACTGTATGCATTCATACTGGGAGGAATCCGAAGCGCTACAGAGCTGCTGCGTCCCAGTGAACCTTCCAACCGACTCCAAAGGGCCCCCCCTCCCACCCCCGACCGCGTGGATGCGCGGCCACCTCAATCAGCACGTCGCACGCCTCGACGGACCTCGTCTGAGGCCAAACGCTGCGGTTGACGCGGTGCGGGCGATAATTGATGCATGGCATCAGCTACGCACCGTGGAGCTGCGAAACTCCAACCGGGGTGACGCGAGCCTCTTTTGAAGCTGCAAGGTTGCGTCTCTAAGCATTCCTGGCCTGGGGTTAGCACGACGACGCTGTAGCTGCCTCGGCCATTAATTATGCATGCAATTCCGGAGGCGTTTATGGTAAATAATCAATGAATACTACTACTGTTAGGGCCACGTACTTCAAATGCCAGGTTAGTGGTGGTTTTTAATTTCTTGTCATCTGATATTGATCTATATGCTTAAACCATCTCCACTTTTATGTTTCATATTTAAAAGTATATCTCCGTCGACAAATGTCTACACAAACAATCCACTCCTGGATGAGGTCACTGCCCACGCCGTATAGGCTGTAAGGGTTATTTTATTTTACCATACTTCACCACGCTGGTCAGTGTGGGTTAGGGGAAAACAGAGAGCATCGGCGCAGGAGCACAGAAGTGCAGTACAACGAATTATTTTGCTGCACTGTCCCCTGCTGACAACATAGCCGCCGCAGGAGCCTAGAGCACCTGTTTCATGCGCTGTGTTCACCCATTCAAGTATTATCCAGGCCCAGCCCTGCTTAGCTTCCGCTATCTGAAGAGACGGGGCGCATTCTGGAGTGATTTGGTCATGGCGTAAGTTGCTCGATTAACCAAGACCATTCATCCTTGTTCTCTTGATAGATCAAAGCTCAAAGTGGTTGTCATGGCCAGTGCCGATGATTCCTCGGCAACTCCCCCACTGCTTGCCTGCGATTTTCTGTACTACTGAGCTACTGAGCACGGCTCTCTTCACACGTAGACACTCAAACATCAAGGGCGGTTCAGGGCTAACACACGCATTTGACCCCATGAGCTCAAGGATGACGTTGTCAGACAAGATGACGCATCTTGGTCATGAAGGGCAAACGCAACAAAACCAAATAAATAAATACGGTGTTATGTAAGAGACAGATAAATACAAAAACAATGTTTCCTCTGGTCATTTGGAGCATGCTCGTTAATTCACCCCGGCCAATGCCTTCTTGAAATCGGAAAGATGATTTTTTTTTATTGCTTGTCAGAAATAATTGCCCGAAAGTCCTGTCCATTTTAAGGTTTAATCTAAGGTGTCCATAAATATTTTAGATGCTCTGTGTAATAATCACAGCCAACATTTCTTATATCTCTGTTTGGCCATCAATGGAATATTTCACAGATTCTGCGAATGCTATAAACACATAAATTCCATCCATTTTTAATCCACCAATGGGATAAAGGAAGGCCTCTGCACGTCATAGCGGTCCTGGTGGGGGGGGGGGGGGGTATTTGACCGTACTTCACCGTACTGGTCAGTGCAGGCTGGCGAAGAGGGGAATAACAGGACCCGTGATGATATCACTCTACAAAGATGTTAGCCGTGGCCTGTTAACGAACTCGGGGAAACTGGGTTCGTAGCACAACGCCGCGCTTACCGCTGTGCTGTTTTTGGGTAAACGTGTTTTTCTTTCCCACTGCGTGACAACTTGCACATCGTTAATCGTTGCATCAAACCAAATCACCGATACATATGTGAGACATTAAAGGGCAAAACAATTCGTGCCTGTCCAAGCTCAGCATCTCAAAATGCTCGTAGAGTGATGACAAAAAGAATGACGTAACATTTCAAAGTCATTTTGTTTTGGCTCGCCGTGAGAAATTTACGAACCATAGCAAAATATAATTACAAAAAAATTCGTACAGAATCACATAGAGGCAACTCTGAAAATGCTTTTCGGCGAACCGGTGGAACCGCGTAGTCTTGAGGGGTTATTCTTGTCGCAAAACCCACGCACGCCCGCGCATAATGGACAGAGTAACAAAGCCCATGAAGAGATCTCCTGCTGTCGCGGCACAGTCACAGCCTCCGTATCCCGGTTGTGCACCTCTCGGAGGCGCACTTTTAACAGTTCACAATTAACGCGCCACTGGTGCGAATAAGTGCGTGAGGAAATGTGCGTGGACGTGGACTCGGAGCCACCTGCATCACGAATAACTTTGCAGTTTCATCGCGAAATTCCCAATGTGAACGCGTTCACTGCTGGAAACAATTAGTGGTGGATTCGGGACCGTTATTGACCGCTTGCGGGAGAGGAGCTTTCCACCGTTCGCTCCGAGCAACAACAAAAAAAAAACGCCTGGCGTTACAATGCAGCGCAACTCCCACGACCGATTTATTTCCGTGCGATTTCGCACGCGACGCACCTTGGCTCGGGCGCGAGACGGACGATAAATAAGAAAGTGTGTGAAACGCCTGTGTTTGTCGAATAGACCAAGAGTCTGCCCAGACAGGGGGGGGGGGGGGGGGGGTGAAGGGTTAATAGTCCCTGGGCCTCACAGACACAAAAATAGGGCCCCCCCCCCCCCCCCGCAGCGAGAATGCATGACGGTGGAATCACGGGGGCCCTCTCTACTTGGCATGCTCCCCCCCCCCCCCCCCGTGCCTGCGAGTGCCTCTGGGCGGCCCTGCTCATACGATGTCTTGTCCGTCTGTCCGTGTGTCCGTCCGTGAGCCAGACATCCAGCACTTAACATGTTGTCACGAAAAATGAAAATATAAATAAATAAAAACAATCGCTTCGAAAGCCACCACAGAGACCACTGTCACCAATACAGGGATTTGTGCCGTTTCACAGGCAGATTAGCAATTAAATACTTGTTCAAATTATTATATTGCTAAAAAAAATTTTATCATCGTTAGCCAAGATCTATCCACTACTAGATGGCCTCCCCAAGCCATCGCCATCTGGCACGGTCCCGCAATGTCTAAAAAAGTTCATCTAGCTCCCAATACACAAGAGCTGAATTCACAGCTACATCTCTCCACTGTGGACATCCCTATTGGGCATGTCCACTCCATCAGTCTCATCCATTTCGATTTAAAGCTTTCGTGACTGCAAGGATTCATCTTCTTTGGTTCTTTCGGTAAAGTCACGTAGAATGAGAATAAAATAATAAAATAAAATAAGACAATAAAATTCTCACGACGTTTCGGCCACAACACAAGCGGCCTTCCTCAGGTGAAGAAACAGAGTCTATCCAGGAGACAGAGCCCGAGTGGACCCCGTCACACCAGAACTGAGTCTTATTAAACAGTCTTAATAACATGCTAATCCAACTCCGCCCAGACAGCCTTAATAAGACTCAGTCCTAGCGTGACAGGGGTCCACTCGTGCTCTGTCTCCTGGATAGACCTGTTTCTTCACCTGAGGAAGGCCGCTTATGTTGTGGCCGAAACGTCGTGAGAATTTTATTTTCTTATTTAATTTTATTATTTTATTCTCATTCTACGTGACTTTACCGAAAGAACCAAAGAAGACAGTCTCATTCACTTTGTCGTCATCCCTCTGTGCGAATGCGCCCCGCTCAAGGCCCATTTACTTTTCGGAACATTCAATGCGATGCCTTTAACGTGCGCAGGTACTCTGACCAGTGCGTTGCTCTCTCCACCTCTCGGAATACTTCCATGGCGTGCGCCTCGGCCAAGCCTCCCTGCGCACTTTTCACATTCTGTCCAACCCGTGAGTCAATCTCCGTGCGTGCTGTTGCAGGTAATGCGCACACCGATGAATATCTCCCTCTCCCGAAGGCAGGTCGTCTCTCAGCTTTACACGATTGATGGTCAGTTTTACAAAACCGCCCCAACCTTGCACCTCAGTCCTGCCCCGTTTAGCTCGTCGCGTTGATCCCGGCCGCGCCTTCAACAGTCGCCCAAGGCCACGCGTTACTCTCCGATGCGACCGGCCGTGTCCCCTCCGACGGTCGCCGCAACTTGTTTGGGAAGGCGACGGCGTCACGCAGCGCGCCGGTGTGAGCGGCGTTCACGAGCGCGGGAATGGGAGCCCCACCGCGTCGATCGCACGGCCGGCACGGCTTTACTCGGCCGAGCACCCTGCACCCGCGCGCGTGTTCCCTCTGAGTCATCGGCCGACGGGAAAAAGAGAGGGGAGGCTTCCTTAATGGGACTGGATTTCTACCTTAGCCTTTGAGTGGCGAAGCGCGGCTTTAACCCTCAGAAATTATTTACAGGACTATTTTTAGCTTGAACTCATTGCTGGCCAACTCAGCAAGTGCACCAGAAATAGAGGCAAAGGCTGCGTATGAAAATTTCATACCTGGCTTATGCTATATTTAAGCATTCCACTAATGGACTCGGCTCTTTTTGGAGGTCACCAACTCGAAAAGGGGTTTCCAAACCGAGGCTTTCTCCCGAACAGCTGTGCACGTGCGAAGCATCTAACAAGTGCAGTGCGGTGGACTATGAAGAGTGGTGACACAATGGAGAGAGCACCACGCCACGAATCTCGTCGTCGAAGTTCAAATCCCAGTCACGGTTCAGACCGTCGCTGAGCGATATCCTTGCCAGTCCTGAGCCTCCCTTCACCAACCGGCATTGACTAATGTGGGTAGAGGACGGTAAAATAACAACCCTCGTGACTGATAAGGTATGGGGAGGCATTGATAATGCGCTGCAAATTATTGTGTGTTATTAATTGTATGCCAAAAGTAGTGAAATGCGTTTATGTATTTTAGATGAATTAAAGAAGAAAGACTGCGTGCTTTAAAATCAAGGACATGGAGAGATGTTTTTTTTTTTACAATCACTGTGGTGTAACAAAAAAAATTCAACAAACAAACGCAACTTTTACTCACAATTAAAAAAACAATAAACACACCATCGCAAACATTCACATCTGGTCCAACGGGGCTTTATCGTCAATTACTATAGCTCCCTGACTTGCACATGTTTGCGACAGGGAAGCAGAACGGTTGTTTTTTTCTCCCTCCGCGCTAAATTAATTCGCCCGGCTTCTCTTCGCCTCTTGGTGTGCGCGGCGGTGCCAGGCCCGGCCGAGTCGAGCGTCACGAGCGACGTCGAGGGGGGTGACACGCCGAGTCACGTGTCCCTCACACCGGCAGATCGCGTCACGCAGACGACGCACATCGCGCCACGAGCTCACGGGCTCAGGGACTCACTAGTCACGGGTCACGGGTCACGAGTCACGAGTCACGAGCTCACGAGTCACGGGTTCACGAGCTCACGAGTCACGGGTTCACGAGTCACGGGTTCACGAGCTCACGAGTCACGGGTTCACGAGCTCACGAGTCACGGGTTCACGAGTCACGAGTCATGGGTTCACGGGCACACGAGTCACGGGCTCACGAGTCACGAGTCACGGGCTCACGAGTCACGGGTTCACGAGTCACGGGTTCACGAGCTCACGAGTCACGGGTTCACGGGCACATGAGTCACGGGTTCACGGGCACATGAGTCACGGGTTCACGGGTTCACGGGCACACGAGTCACGAGTCACGGGCTCACGAGTCACGGGCTCACGAGTCACGGGCTCACGAGTCACGGGCTCACGAGTCACGAGTCACGGGTCACGGGCTCACGAGTCACGGGTTCACGGGCTCACGGGTCACGGGTTCACGGGCTCACGAGGCACGAGCTCACGAGTCATGGGTTCACGAGTCACGGGCTCACGAGTTCACGGGCTCACGGGTTCACGAGTCACGAGTCACGGGCTCACGAGTTACGGGCTCACGAATCACGGGTTCACAGGCTCACGGGTCACGGGTTCACGGGTTCACGAGTCACGGGCTCACGGGTCACGGGCTCACGAGTCACGGGTTCACGGGCTCACGGGCTCACGAGCCACGGGCTCACGAGTCACGGGTTCACGAGTCACGAGTCACAGGCTCACGAGTCACGGGCTCACGGGTCACGGGCTCACGGGTCACGGGCTCACGAGTCACGGGCTCACGAGTCACGAGTCACGGGCTCACGAGCTCACGAGTCACGAGTCACGGGTTCACGAGTCACGGGTTCACGGGCACGTTTCTGGTTTAATTCCGCCCATCCAAGCCTTCAGATCGAGCATAATCAGGCAAAGGTAAAGGTGCATCCCTGCAGTTGCTTGCTGGCACCACTGCCAAACGGAAGGGCCTCCCGCTCACGTCAGCTGTACAGCACCCATCCCTCCAGAGTGGTGCTGTGTCCTGCTCGTCCACGCTGAACTGACACATTGGAAGAAGTGGGAGTTCCCACACTTCACCCCGTCACACGCGACCTGCCGATTGGCTAGCTGCGCTGAACCCACTTATTGCTGCCGAGTGGACAGAAGCAGTGGGGGTGGGAGGAGATTTAAGAAACATTCACGGTCGTTTCGAGGAGATTGAAACAGAACGGCGACCGCCTGGATTGCAAGTCTAGTGAGCTGCTAACCATTACACCCCACGACAGCATCCCACAATCAGCCAAAGCAGAGGACAAATATAATTTTCGACGGCTGGATCAATTTTAAGAACACTTATTCAACGAGCTCGCCTCTTACAAAGCGCGCGATGATTTAATCGCTTACTGCACGCTCGTGCACTCGTGTGTGCATGCATTTACGCGCGAGTGTGTGTGCGCGTGTGTGCGCGCGTGTGTGTGTGCGTGTGTGTGTGTGCGTGTGTGTGTGTGTTACGTGGGGAGCTGTCTGCATGGGAAATCCATTTAGCTGGCAGGTGAACAGACGAATAACCTGAAACTAATGCGATGAGACCCGCCATGATTTTGATTGAAAATGAGCATTCTGTGTACTTTGGCTGCCCTCAAAGACCGCGTCTCCGATTTGCAGCCAGGAGCCAGTGGTGGAGAATCCACGTTCCATTGACGGTGGCGAGTCTCTCCACGGTGACAACCACTGCTGACTTCCCCGCGAAGCAGTGTCTCATTTTATCAACCCAGAAAACTGATGGGCCGAGCCAACAAGCCAGGTCGCTTCTGAAAAGGGAACTAATGGCACAGTAGGCCTTACCTGGTAAGATTGAAAAAAAAACTAGCTTACGTTTATTTGTATATATATATTTGAATGATTTATTTACCTTGACTATTATATGCACTCCCATCGTGTTTTTCTAGTGTTTGTTGTTGTAACGGTCCGACACCAGACATCTGTGAAAAAGAGCTTTATAGCTCATCGGATTCCTCCAGTGTAAGTAAATATTATGATTCAGATTCTGATCGTCGCACGCGGTGGCTTTGTACTCGTCAAAAGTGGTGGGGACTGCCGGCGGCACAAGCTGCCATTGCTCCGAATTTTGTGAAACTCTCAATCCCGCTGGGCTGATGGCAGTAAAAAAACTTGGGTTCCAGCACACGTCCAAAAAAATATATATGCTAATTGTATAACGCACGTTAATGCCATACTAATTGTACATTGAAGGTAATTGTACGTTGTATGCTAATTGTACTCTTAACTGCACACTGGGTTCACTCCTCACAACACAGTGTCGCTCCCACACGCACAACCCCTTGATGCAAAAGAACTGGCTGAACGTCCTAACTCAGGGCTCGATGGGGTAAATAGCCTTGAGACTCACTTAACCTTTCCTGGACGAATAATAATAATACAAATGGACCTTTTGGCAAGGAAAGCCCCACAGAGTCTTTCGACTCTTTTTCAAGAATCTCCTACTTGTCGGACGTTTGGCCAATTCTATTCGTGACTGGAATTTGGGAGGAAACCGGGGGGATTAAAACTCTCCAGTGGCGTGCGACTGCGGTGATCCAGAACAGACCGTACAACGTGTAACGACGCAATACCGAAGGAGAGCTCACTGCGATAGACTCTGCTGCTCCCGACGCAGTTATCTGGCTTGACCACCTGAATGTGACATTGTGGTTGTTGCTCTGCATCAGCCGTGCAACAGAAGAAGTGGGCCTTACCTGGTACAATTTAACAAAAAAAATGTTGGTGAATTTAACACGGAGGCTTTCGTGACCAATATTATTTATGAGACAGGTTTTTAGGGGTTAGATCGCACAGATATAAATGTGTCGTTAACCCACTGACACCACCCGACACGGCCAATTAGTAAGGTTTATTAGTGAGTTAAGTAGTTGTGTCGCGGCTGTGGCAACAGCTGCGGTTGGGTTGGCCACGCACCTTCTCGGTGTCGATGCCCTTGGTCATGGTCCAGGCGGACACGATGTAGTCCATGACGCGCTCGCTCAGCCCCTTGGGCACCTGGTGCAGCTGCAGGAAGTCGCGCACGCTCTTCAGCATCTTGTGGTAACGGTTGGTGTTGGCCGACATCTGCTGGAAGATGGTCGTCACGTTTCCGAAGATGGTGGCGTACAGCAAGGCTGCGAGGGGGGGGCGGAGGGGGGCAAGAACAACGCGTCGCGCAGGTTGGAGCTGGGGGTCACGGAACGGTTAGAGGTGGTTTATTATTTTCCCCGGGGCGACGAGCCACCTGCAGGAGAGCAGTCGAGAGAGCAGGTTGCTGAATTGTCAATTTCGGCACTAACCCCCTCACGTGCATGTGGATTGTCTCCAGCCGCACCAGAGTCCGGGGGTGGATTACGCGGTGCACCGGTCAACACCTCCCATTAGCACCGTTAGCTCTGTACTGTGCGAAAGAAGTTCAACGTGCATGCGTGCATACTCTGCGTCGCGTACCCTGCAGCCATAATCAATACCAAGGATGGTGGGTGACGGTCTGAGCACGTCCCACCCTTCCTGCCTTCACGAGCCCACGCGCACTAGCGTGGTGAAGTACGGTCAAACAACCCACACGGTCAGCACGGCGTGGGTGAATTGACAAAAGGGCTGTAAGATTTGTTTCATTGTAAACTAAACTAAACTATTTTTATCTTACCAGGTAAGGCCCTTTTTCCAAAAGCGACCTGGCTATCGCAAATGATAGCTCAACGAAGCGGCTTATCACGTGGAAATTGATAGCAGCCACAATGCTCTAAACGCATGGTTGTTGAGCGAGGCCCAAAACAAACCGAGGGGCCCGCGACCAAGTTGCAAGGCGACTGTTGGGACGTTGGGCGAAGGGACGTTGGGAGGGAGTGACCGCGAATTGGGGCAGTGCGAGAAGCGGAATGACAATTGTGTTTTGTACTTCAGTGTGCCGGTTGAACACAGCATGGATGGTCGAGAAAAAAAACACGACCAGTCTGGCAGACAGGGTCCACGGACAGGGTGGAGGAATGTATGAGTTGTTTATAGGGATTCCAAAAGCCTCATCCGGCAACAGATTAACAAATGGCTTGCCGTATACGGTCTTCTCGCCTGAGCAGTCTTTGTGTATTGCCCACGTGCGCATAATATATTGCGCAGAGTATATATACGTTGCAGCGTTGAATGTTTTCTTTAAATATAACTTGATGACGGCCAATCAAAGGTAAAAATCAGGAATTACGTTTAACTCGCTTGACACTGGAGCGCCGCGCATGTTTGCGTGCACGCGCAGCGGAGACGCATTTGCTCTGACTTCAAGCACTGGCCCTCTCTGCGCGACAATCGAGCAGATTGAGAGAGAAGCAATAGGTGGCTTGTGGATTCTTCACACTCAGTCGGGCATTGTCGACCCCCCCCCCCCCGTTACCTCCCAACCACCCACCCCTAATATCTGTTCCACTGGGAATAAAAGTTCGTTCCGCCAGGGAACCAATATTCTTATCCCGGAGTTTGTTGAAGGATCTCAAAATTATGTAGAAACCCTCCCCTTAGTGGCGGTTAAATTTTGATTTAAAGCTTTAGTGACTGTGGTGATTCATATTATTGGTTCTTTCGGTAAAGTCACGTAGAAGGGAAACAATAAAATAATAAAAATATAAAACAATAAAATTATCAGGACGATTCGACTGCAACACAAGCAATCATCATCAGGTGTGAAAACTACAGCAAGAAAATTTGAAAAAAGTGGCGTTTTTTTTACGTTAGCACCACGGAGAGCGATTTGGCAGTTATTCAGATGGACGAGTCCATCTATGTTCGGAAAGGAGGAGGGGGAGACGAAAATAATGGATGTAGTCTGAAATCTACCGTAAGCGTGAACAATCAATTAAGACCCGAAATGGTTGATTAAAATCCTTCTAATGATTGCTAAGCCAGAATCCATCTTCTCGGTTGAAATTGTCTCTGTGTTTGTATATGTGGATAGCCTCTTGAACGAATCTCTCATGGTAGCCAGATGGCTTGCAAAGATCCTTTGTCTTGGAAAAGTCAATGTCATGTGAGCCTACTGAATTATAACAGTGATCTGTCACGGCCAAGGTGTTGGTCCCACCGTGTTTCAGGTCTGCTTTGTGTTCACGAATGCGGTCCGAGATATGTCGTTTGGTTTCTCCAATGTAACTACTACCACAGAGGCAACTTAGTTTGTAGATGCCAGGGTACTGTAATCACATCTTTTAAAGACAGAACCAGATCACGGATTTTATGTAATGTGTTGAATCGGACCTGGATCTTGTGTTTATTCAAGATTTTGGAGATCTTTTTTGTGATCCCCGTAACGTAGGGTAAAGCGATGATTTTGAAAGGCTCCTCAAGAAGGTCCATCTTCATGGTTGGAGTGATAGCTTTGCGGATTGTGTAGTCGGAGTAACCATTAGCCTTAAGAGCTTGGTGTACGTGCTTGAGCTCACTGGCTATGTGTTCCTGGTCGGATATGCATTGGGCTCTATGGTGCAGAGTCTTGATGAGGGAATTCTGCTGGGATGGATGGTGGTGGGAATCTGGTTTCAGGTAAGTATCCGTATGGGTAGCTTTCCTGTAGACAGAGTGGCTCATTGAACCATCAGGACTCTTTTTTATTAGAACATCCAAAAAAGGTAGCTTGCCATCTTTTTCGACTTCCATGGTAAATCTGATGGCTGGGTGTATGGAATTGATTTGGTCGAGGAATTGGTCTAGAGCAGGCCGGCCATGTGGCCAGATGACAAAAGTGTCATCCACGTACCTCTTCCATAAGGTTGGGCGCAGAGTGGCAGTCTGGATGGCGTCAGTCTCAAATTTCTCCATGAAAATGTTGGGTTTCACACCTGATGCTGATTGCTTGTGTTGCAGTCGAAACTTCGTGAAAATTGTATTGTTTTATATTTTTATTATTTTATTGTTTCCCTTCTACGTGACTTTACCGAAAGAACCAAGAATATGAATCCCTGCAGTCACGAAAGCCTTAAATCAAAATTTAACCGCCTCTACGGGGAGGGTTTCCACATAACTTTGAGGTCCTTCAACAAACTCTGGGATAAGAAGGCTCAGCTGAGAGTCTCTCACCTTTCTGAAGAGAGGCCGCGACTCTGGGGTAATACCAATCGCATTTACACTGACCTCTGCTGCTGTAACTTCTTCTAATGTGAAACGAATTATTTCCAGAACTACCTTAGCTCTTATCTCAGAGAAAATCAGACTTATACGCACCGAACTAGATAAGTTAGACAAGACACTCTACAAATCAAACATATCATTGATGGCAACAATGTCCACATCGGATTGGGAACATGTAGACAATATGACTGCCTCTTCAGCTACCACTATGTCGACCAAATGTAAGGACAAACTGATTTCCAAATTTAACCTCCTCGCCAACAAAAGACCGGACCCACACACCAAAAAGCTAGACGTTAACAAAGTCGTAATTAATCGCAATAACAGTTCTATTTCCGATGGTCTGAAATCCGTTTTAGCTAAAGGGTTAAACTTTGCAGTCACACCTAAACTCATACCAGTAAATGATATCATTGCCCAAGTAGACGTGGCTCTCAAGGGCCTGGGTCACATCGCTGCAGACGTAGCAAGATCTGAAATCGCTGCAACCCTCAAAAACGCTAAGATGCCAGCTAGCAATCTCAGCAAAGATGAGCGTTTTGAATTATATAAATAAAAAAGAGGGATGACATTGTCATCCTCTCAGCCGACAAGGGCAATGCCACTGTCATCATGGATAAAATAGAATATAACAACAAAATTCAAGAATTACTCAACGATGGCAGCTATACAAAAAATAAAAATACATCCCACCAACAGCTTCGTCATACAAACCAACAAAATCATTTCTGAATCAACCGCATTAATTGATCAAACCAAACAGTTCTCGTTGAAACCTTCTGCTGCCAGGCCACCAAGATTATACGGCTTACCAAAAATACATAAAGTAGATACACCCCTTCATCCCATCGTCTCTACTATCAACTCCCCCACCTACAAACTGGCTCGTTTTCTGTTTGAAATCCTGCAGCCTTTCACTGGAAAAACCACCTCTGCAGTACCAATTTCTACTCACCTGGTATCGACAATCAGGGGTATTTCTCTGTCCCCAGACGACCTGCTTGTCAGTTTTGATGTAGTTTCCTTATTCACCAAAGTTCCTGTACCTGACACCATCGCAATCATTGAAGACTTGATCCATCAAGGACTAAACACTGAGGTACCCCCCCCTGGTGAGACACTGCTTAACCAATACATACTTCACTTGGAATGGAACTTTCTACAAACAAACTGAGGGCACCCCAATGGGCTCCCCCCTATCTCCGGTTGTAGCCAACATTTTCATGGAGAAATTTGAGACTGACGCCATCCAGACTGCCACTCTGTACCCAACCTTATGGAAGAGGTACGTGGATGACACTTTTGTCATCTGGCCACATGGCCGGCCTGCTCTAGACCAATTCCTCGACCACATCAATTCCATACACCTAGCCATCAGATTTACCATGGAAGTCGAAAAAGATGGCAAGCTACCTTTTTTGGATGTCCTAATAAAAAAGAGACCTGATGGTTCAATGAGCCACTCTGTCTACAGGAAAGCTACCCATACGGATGCTTACCTGAAACCGGATTCCCACCACCATCCATCCCAGAAGAATTCCCTCATCAAGACTCTGCACCATAGCGACCAGGTACACATAGCCAGTGAACTCAAGCACACAATCCGCAAAGCTATCAAAGCTATCACTCCAACCATGAAGACAGACCCTCTTGATGAGCCTTTCAAAACCATCACTTTACCCTACATTGCGGGGATCACAAAAAAGATCTCCAAAATCTTGAATAAACACAAGATCCAGGTCCGATTCAACACATTACATAAAATCCGTGATCTGGTTCCATCTGTAAAAGATGTGATTCCGGACATACAGTACCCTGGCATCTACAAACTAAGTTGCCTCTGTGGTAGTAGTTACATTGGAGAAACCAAACGACATGTCTCGGACTGCATTCGTGAACACCAAGCAGACCTAAAACACGGTAGGACCAACACCTCAGCCATGGCAGATCACTGTTATAATTCAGTAGGCTCACATGACATTGACTTCTCCAAGACAGAGGTTCTTTGCAAGCCATCTGG